GCTTCGTCATGCCTGGAGCTGATCCGTGCTGGTCGCTGAGGAAATGCATCGCGCTATAGATTGTCGAATTGTTTTCACCGTGGACGAAGCGGAGTCCAGCCCGGGGTCATCATATGTGGTTGCTACAAACCCGCCGGACGCTCCTTCGTCGAATCCGCCAACTGCACCGTTCTCAAGCCCACCTGCCTCTGCTCACTCAAGGTTGTGAAAGTGAAACTACTTTGTTTGGTCTTCCAAAAGAGGACACGACTAGAAATCAGTGGTTAAGTTGTATTTACAACACTGTTCCAGAACAGTTCAACCCAAATATTCAGATGTGTGCAGTGCATTTTATGGAGGACTGTTTCCTGATCCTGGTAGAGTAGACTACAATGCCAGCTGTTCTGACTCCCAGACTGAAAGTACGGTTTTTTTTTTTTATATTTAAAGAATTTGCCACTGACGATTCAAACATTTTTTAGTTTTTTGGGCAGTGTAGAGTAGGGCTTGTTGTTTGTCATTTCTTCGATCACAAATGCAGACGTGGTTTTATGTTACACTCCGGCTGGACAGGGCATCACAGTATGGTGAGGGGCGTAACATTTCCGTCACATGCTTGAGGTATTCGGCCAATCACAACGCACTGGATAGCTGACCAATCAGCGCACACCCCGCTTTTCAGACCGATGAGCTTTGTAAAAATCTACGTGTTTCAGAAAGGCAGGGCATAGAGGAGAAACAATAATGTACAGTATGTAGAAAATAATGTGTTTTTTAACCTTAAACCGCATAAACACATTTCATTACACCAAAAATAAACAAAATAATGTTCTTTTTAGCAACATCATATGACCCCTTTAAAGGCAGTGGTGATTGGTTAGAATACAGCTATATCTCTTTCTACCATCTCTCTGTCTCTTTCTTTCTCCCTCTCTCTCGATATGAAAACACTAACCCCTCACTGCGTTGTTGTTGTTGTTCTGTCATTGTGGCCCGGCGACGGCTGTGTCTCCAGGTCAGAGCAGAGGATTCGCCTTCGTCGAGTTTAATCACTTGCAGGAGGCCAGCCGCTGGATGGAGACCAACCAGGTCACTTCACACTGCACACACGCATACACACTACAAGTCCACACGTGTATGGATATAATATACCCTTTACGCCTGGATTCCTTATGATTTCACAGATTTCGCCATCTCTTAAGAATGAGGTCTGTCTGTTGTCTGTCTAGCACAAGTATTGGACACTGCTACTAGTTGGGTATTTTCTGGAAATGCCCAAGTTCAGTATAAATTCAGCAGCATTCCCCTGAAAGCTCAGTTTGTGTGTGCTATTATCTCCCTTTTTCAGTCATCTGCCGCAGTGTCTCTTGGCAGCCGTAAGATCCTAGTGTGAGACCTGCCCTATATTTCGTGTCTCTCTAGTTGAATCCACATGACTTTGAAACGTGTTCTAAAATGAGTTCCAAAACAGCATGAGAATTTGGTGTTCCGCTAAAGTATCTTCTAATTAAATGATTAAATTATTACCAGTGAGTCCATAGATTAGCTGACCTGTATACTGAATATCAGTTTACATGATAGCTAGGAATAAGTTAATAATGTGATACAATGGCATTTATTATTTTTAAGTTTACTTATGGTACACTCATTACAGGGTCATTCCCCTCAAAATACCTGAAGTAAACCTCCTTGCTGAAGTGCTAAAGAGCATCAGGTCCACATTGCAGCTTATTCTGACTAAGAATCGCTCACTCAGACAGGAAGTTTGTTTGACAGTCATGTAAACCACAATTTTGTTTTTGTGCTGATGATGCCACAATAATAGACCATTTGGAATATAATCTGATCTAAATAATGATTCCTTTGTTTCCCCAAACAATTGTACAGAAAACTGTGGAGAATGCTGTAGAAAACTGTAGACTTTGACCAGAAGTCTTCATAGAAGTAATAAGTACTAATTATTTCACATATAAAACCATTAGAAATTAACATGGATATCTAGTGTTCTTGCTGCTAATGGAGAGAGTAAATGATAACTGAAAATGATAATTCTTTTAAGTAAAGTAGCAGACCAATACCTTTCTAAACCCCAATTTGTTTCATGCTGTGCACCCCTATTTCTGGTATAGCAGCCAGATAGTCAGATTTGGAATTGGCTATTTCAGCCAGTGCTTGCCGTTTTTGCTTGTCACATGATGAAGACGGTTCGTAAATGGACTGTGGTTGGTCTGTAGTCCGAATGGGATTTGAAATGACAAACTTTGAGTTACTAGCCCAGATACTGATTTTAACAATGCTGAGAAAATGTAATTTTTTTTTATATTGGTTGAGAATGATGGGGTGCTATATAACAAATAATTGAACATAAAACATGTATGCCTAGATATTGTTTCATGTACAGGGTAATGTTGTTTGTCTTAATATCAGACCTCTGAAGTGCTCAAAATCAGGTAATTGGTTAGTTATTGGTTTTCTTTAAGTCTTCAGTTATGTTAAGGATTGTTTATTAAAGGGATACTTCCTCCAAAATGACAATTTGCTGTTAATGTATTCACCCTCAGGCCATCAAAGATGCAAGTGAAGATTTTTAGCTGAAACCGTGGTCCTTTGTGATGAAGTCAATGGCTAATGTCACTTTAAGAGTCAAGAACACCTGAACAGGCAACACAAAATTAATACCCATGTCTCCTGCCGATATATTGAGGTCTTATGAAGTGAAACAATCGGTCTGTGCAAGAAACTGAATTATTTACAACATTATTATCTTTAATCCAGAGCCTCAAGACAGATCACAAACAAATAATTCTTCTGAACTGTATCTTTTTAGTGATTTTAAGCGAAATTTTTTTTACCGTTTTACTAAAGAAAAAAAGTTGCCTACATCTTCGATGGCTCGAGCGTGAGTGAAGTAACGTCTCAGGTTACTTATGTAACCATGGTTCCCTGAGTAGGGAACGAGACACTGCGTCCTCTAGGGGTCGCTATGGGGAACGCCTCGTCGTGACCCGTGTCTGAAGCATACATTGAAAAGACACCAACAACACGTTGGCCAGCGACAGCCCATGCCATCACTACCGGTGCAATATAGTATAAATAGGTGCCGGGAGAACATGTCATTCACTTCTTTGTCTGAAGCTTGCGTCGAAGCATGGCAGGAAGCCTAGAGGATGCAGTGTCTCGTTCCCTACTCAGGTTACTTATGTAACCATGGGTCCCTGAGATGTTCCCTTTCAAGGGAACTTCGAACTGCGTCCTCTAGGGGTCGCTATGGGGAACGGTATACCCACGCCACCATGCTGAGGGGAGTGCAAGCCAGAACCATGGCGAGCACTAAGAACCAACTCTACCATATTGCTATGGGAGTCACTCCTGGGACGTTAGACGGCTGTCAGTGACGTTATTCCCTACGGCCAAAGGCCTAGGCTACATACCCCAAAATACTTACCTGTTAGGGCCAGACTCCTGGGCCCGGGGTAGAGCTCAAGGCTTGGAATCAGAAACAGATTCCTTTAAGGGAATACGACCAAGAGCCTAGAATCATACTAGTCTTGGTCTCTCACACAGGGGCTACCGCACGTTTGTCTTCGCATGTGGTGAAGGAACTGTCTCAACAGATCCTTAGTAGCAATACCCTGTTAAGTAGGTATCCAGAGGATACATAGGGGGAGTGGTGCCCAAGGCAGAACCGGGGTTTTAAACCACTCAAAAAGAGCACGAAGTCTTGCGCGTAGCTCTTACCATACAGGATTTTTAGAAAAGTGGGCAAAGCATAACGTGCGCACTTACCAGCTATGTGGATTTTAGAAAAGTGGGCAAAGCATAACGTGCACACTTACCACTTATGTGGATTTTAGAAAAGTGGGCAAAGCATAACGTGCACACTTACCACTTATTACCACAATGTGGATTTTAGAAAGTGCACAAAGCCTTCACATGCACACTCACCATAACATGGATTTTTAGGATACCATTCTAAGGGGGCTCTCGTGGCACTCTGAAAGAGCAGCTCATAGATGGAATGGTGCCTACCAAACCCAATATGTTTGAGAGTCACCAACTCGATCTAAGATAAAAAGCTGGAATGGCTAGCAGTAAATCTCTAGCTGAGGGGGCAAACGCCCAGCTCTCACACAAGAGGGGAGCTCGACCTACCACATGTTCCAATGCTGGAACAGCTAGCAATAATTTACTTGGCTGAGGGAGCAACACACCCAGCTCTAAAACGAGATGGAGGCTCGGACCTACAGCATGTTCCAATACTGGAACTGCCAGCAGTAAAGTTACCTAGCTGAGGGAACACAGACCTAGCTCTCAACGACAGAGGGGGCTCGCCCAGCATGATCGTTAGAATCAGAGGTAAGTGTACTGCAAGCTAGCCAAAAACTCAGCGCATCAGAGAGGCGGATTTGGAAGGGCCTAGTTCACCTGATGCTGCTGGTTCCAGGTGCTCTGGGAAAACAGAGAACTCAACTCTCACGTGAGAGGAGAACTCCGAACTCAGAAAGAATAGCGCGCTCATAGGCAACCCTTTGGTAAAGGGGAGCACTGCTAATATACCACGAGAACAGCCCACGGAGCGAACCCGGGCGCTCGATAGGAAGCAGCATGCTCATAGTAACCCTCAATGGTGAGGGGAATCGATACTTCCAAGTGTGTCAAAAATAGAGTCACTGGTTGAGTGGAGCCCAACAAAGCTATACGCGCAACCCTTACCGTACAGGATTTCAGAAAGTGCGCAAAGTCTAGCGTCCGAACGTACCACTACTGTGGATTTTAGAAAGTGGGCAAAGTGTTCAACGTGTGAACTTTACCACTATGTGGGTTTCAGAAAGTGCACAGAGCTTAGCGTGTGCACTTACCATAGCATGGATTTAAATTTCCAGGCATCTGATCACAGATACCCGGAGGTACTGGGCCAAACGGGAGAGGCACTGATCTTCTCAACCACCGTCTCAATGGAGGTAACCAAAAATATTCGGAAGGTGAAACCGGCGCATCGAGAAGAAAGCCCCTCTCTTCCATACCGATATCTGCCAGGTTCACCCACAGATGTCTCTCAATACCTACTATAGCTGCCATGCTTAGTAGCACAGAGAGTGAGATCTGTGGTGCGGCGAAACTCAGCTACCTCATCAGGCCTTTATCCAGGTCTTCCAGCAGGTCAGCCTAATATGCCTGGAGCACCGCATTGTGCGCAACGAAGCAACAGCCTGAACTGCTGCTGTTTATGCCCTGCCATCTATGCGAGATGGCAAGGAGGGAGTTTTAAGAGAGGATGTCTCACCCATAGAAGGATAGCTAGCCAGTCGTCTTTTTTACAGGGGCATCCTCTCATAGTCGTTTCCG